AGCGGAGGTAGGTGTGGGGTGTCCGCCTCACCTGCGTTTCTTCGCCAGGGCAGCGGCCCGAGCACCAGCAGCTACGGTCTCCCTGGCACGTGGGCTCGTGGAGCAGCTGGCACAGAGCCGGGTGCGTGGGCCCTCGTCGTGACCTCGATGTCGTCACGGGGCGAGAAGCAGGGTGGGCTCCGCAGCCGGGCCCTTCAGGGCCCCCAGGCACGGGAGGAGCCCTCGGAGGACAGGCCTGCCGCCCGAGCTCCTCTGCGCTGGGCCTTGGTTTGCTGATTTGTTTTCTTAACTTTCATCCCGAGAGGGTCGGGGCGGGGGTCTCTCCCAGCCTTTTCTGAGTGCCGCCTTCCTTTGATATAAACATTTCATAAGACCACGTACCTAACGGGAGGAGTAACGTTGGGGTTCCTTGCTCCAGGAAACCCACGGCGACCGAAAGCCCCCAGAACCGAGGAACTTGGAAATCCGGAAGTTTGCGCGGCAGCCTCCTGCATGGAGGACCTGTCCTTTGCCCCAAGCAGAACCCCTCCCTCTGGACCTGGGCGCTGCTGGGGAGGGCTGCTCCCACCGGTCACCGGTGGTGGGACGAGGAGCTGGGTGACGCCCAGAGCCCTCCAGCGAGCGCCCAGGTGGCCAGCCAGGCTGTGGGGCGTGGCCCGAGAGCCTGCTCCTGGCTTTTTCTAGAATGCCCTTCTCTCCCCTGAAGAGTTGTGTGGGTCTCATGGAGACCCTCCCAGCTGTTTCTAGAGAAATGAGACTCTGAGACCAAGGCCTGCATCTAGACCAGTGATGGCGAACCTTTTGAGCTCGGCGTGTCAGCATTTTGAAAAACCCTAACTTAACTCTGGTGCCGTGTCACATATAGAAATTTTTTGACATTTGCAACCATAGTAAAACAGAGATTTATATTTTTGGTATTTATTTTATATATTTAAATGCCATTTAACAAAGAAAAATCAACCAAAAAATGAGTTCGTGTGTCCCCTCTGACATGCATCATAGGTTCGCCATCACTGGGCTAGAGGGTGAGGGCACCTGGGAGGAGGGACAGGCGGGAAGAGCTCCCAGCTCCTTAGCTGAGTCCCCCCTTGAGGTGGGCCCTTCTACTGGCCCGGGGTGTCCTCACCGGACAGATCCGTCCATGGGAAGGTCCCCTAGTGTTCTAGCCCCTCAACTCCCAGGCTCACTGTTTTCAGATAATTCCCCAGAAGGAAAGGCGGCTTATGAGTTGGGTGTTTTTTCTGTCTTTACCTTCATATTTCTAAGCAGGCGTCTGCATGAGAAATCACAAAATGCCCCCTCCCTCTCCCCGTCCTCCCAGCGCCCACTTTCCCTGCTTAGAAGGCCCCAACTGAATCTCACTCTTGTACTTCTTTGTCCCTCTTATCACTTCAGCTGACATGGGCTGGGCTGCTGTGACAGCCCCCCAAAACCCTGCCCCTGGCTGCGATGACTTTCTCTGTCCTGTAGGACATTTTCTTTTCTCCTGCAGCTGCTTTTGCATCTGCTTTGTGGTTTATGTACTTATCACTCCCAACTCCCACCCCCACTCCAAACTGACACAGTTGTGCAAAGGTCCCTTCACACACCCTTGGTATGTGGCCAGTTTTATCTTCTGGAAACATCTCTCCTTGGGGCCCAGTGGCCCCCAGGCTCTGAGTCCAGCGGCCGCCCTGGCCTCTTCCTTCTCCATCATTCCCCGCTCTTGGATCTCATGACTCCTCTTGCCTGGTTTCTTTCCAAAGTTTGATGGTGAACATTCCATAACAACTTCCAAAAAAGAGGTGCGTGCAGATTTTCTGAGGCCCTGCATGTCTGAAAATGTCCCTGTCTGCGCTCACAGCTGATCGCTTGTCTGAGAACACACTTCGAAGTTGGACACGGCTTTCCCTCGAAAATTTGAAGGCCCCCATTGTCTGTGGGCAGAAGGGGGCTGAGCGTGAAGCGAGCCTGAGTCTTGATTTTCTGTGTGTGAAAACTTCCCAGCGTTTCCGTTTGTTTGCTTTCCCCGTTTTCTCTTTTTCACGTCTGGGAGCTTGTAGGGGATTCTCTTTGTCTTTGTCTGCAAGCCCCTTGAAGCCGAGCATGGGCGGGGTCCGCAGCCACAGCTCCGGGTACCTCCGGGCCCCTGTAAACGGAAACTCACATCCTCTCGGGATGGGAAAGGTTTTTGCGTTAATTCTTTAATTTATCTTCTGCGATTTTCCTCTGCTCTCCTTTGAGAATGGTTTGTATTTGCTGGTCAGCTGTCTGAACCGGTTCTCTCTCTCTTTTTAAAAATTGATTGATTTGAGAGAGAAAAAGGAAGGGGGGAGAGCAGGAGGGAGGGGGAAGAGATCACTTAGTTGTTCCACTTACTGATGCGTCATTGGGTGGTACCTGCATGTGCCCCGACCTGGGATCGAACCCGCAATATGGCGTGGGGACGCAGCTCTAACCAGCTGAGCTACCCACCCAGCTCG